TATATATATATATATATGTATATGTAAGATGAATTTGAGTTAGGGCTTTTGTGAGAATGAGATGAAAATGGATCTTAGTTAGAGAAAAACCCTCTCAGCATAAAAACTGCGATCTCTCTCCTTTCCTTGAGTTTGTTACTCTTAACCCTCCTCCTTTTATGACTCAACAATTATTTTATTTTTTTTACTATGATTTTTTTTTAATTTTTATATTGTGAAATTAGGATTTTTTTATATTTTAAAAAAAGGAAATTAACATAAGACATTGCAATATCTAATTTTTTAGGATTTAGGTTTATGCCTCCATTAACTTATTTTTAAAAAATAAAATATTGTTAAAATATTTGTTAGAATAATTTACATTTATAAATATTGTTAAAAAATTATCATATAATATATAACTAAAATACTAATATATATATATATATATATATATATAAATATTTTTTCTGTATCTAAATACTTCCGTTTAATTTTTTTATAATGGCTAAGGTATTTGATCCTTCATCTTCAACATTACTAGTTAATAAAGATCATACTTTTGAGCTTATTATTCAAACTCAAGAGCAAGAGCGAGAAACGTTAATGCTTGGAGGACTAGTATAGCTATGGATATATGAGTGAATGTTATTTAAGAGGATATGATATTATGAAGAATTATTATTATTATTATTATTATTATTATTATTTATCTAGATATTGTTATTTTTTTTATTATTTTTGTCTTTGACTCTTTTTAAATTTGAATGTATGAAAAAAAATTGAAATCTTATCATATGTCAAAAATCCACAAAAATTTTACAAAATTTACAAAGTCCCGTAAAATCCATTAAAATTCTGATTTAAAAATCTTGCAGAATCCATTAAAATTCTGATTTAAAATCTTGCAGAATCTTACAAAGTCATAAAAATTTTGTAAAGTCTTTTAAAATCCGCATAATCTAAGATTGTCCTAAAATCAAAAATACTTTAAATTACTTCATTAAATTTTAAGAGATAAAACAATGCATTTAATTCGATTTCTCTCTCTTCACTTAACATTAGGTTCGTGAATAACTATGCCTTTATAATATTTATATTTAACTATTAATTGCTTGAATTAATATATATGGAAAATAACCCCCAAACATTTCCTTAAATACTTTTACTAGGGTCATTAATTTCATTTAATGAACACCTTGATAGTCAAAAGAAAATGCAATTAAATGAAAAGAAACTACCTTTTGGCTATTTAGTCAAACTAAGGATTACCCAATGTGAAAGCTCTCTGTACACGGTACACTCCTCATGTCATCTAGAATTTTCTTGATGAGTCCACGTGTGATGATGCCAACGTAACACAACAAAGGCATCATGAAAATTTTGGCATAGCATATTTCACCAAACCAATTGTGACACTGCCACATACCCTCTTTTGCATGATCATATCAAATGTTATGCAGCCACGCCATATAACCCTTCTTTATTTTCTCTCTCATGAAGACATTAAACACTATATAACTCACCTCTTCTTTCACTCTACCAATATCCCATCATCACTCTTATTCACTTAACCAAAAATATGAGTAGTGTTTGTCCAGAACACAAATTCCAACTCCAACTTCTCTCCCTAGAGAAATACAATAGGGACAATGACACCCCACCAAGGAAGCTCCTCACCCAGCGCGCCACCGTGTACGACGGTGGCCACTATGACTATGACTCTGATGATGACTCCGGCGACCCCTACGCCTCCGACGAATTCCGTATGTATGAATTCAAGGTCCGGCTGTGTATGCGCAGCCGGAGTCATGACTGGACAGACTGTCCCTTTCAGCATCCCGGCGAGAAGGCACGTCGCCGTGATCCTCGCCGGTATCACTACTCAGGGTCAGTCTGTCCAGAGTTTCGCCGCGGCAATTGCAGCCGCGGCGATGCATGTGAATTTTCTCATGGAGTGTTTGAGTCCTGGCTGCACCCTGATAGGTATAGAACCGAGGCTTGCAAAGATGGCAAGAATTGCAAGCGAAAAGTTTGCTTCTTCGCTCACACCCCTCGCCAACTTAGGGTTTTGCCTCTAGACAATGACAACAACATCCGCAACCAAAAGTGTTCAATTATGACCCCTCATAGTAATAACAACAATAACCATGGTTGTCTGTTTTGTCAATGCTCTTCTTCTACATGCTCACCAACCTCTACCTTGTTTGGTGTGTCTCATTTTTCTCCTACTTTGTCACCTTCCTCGCCTTCTTCCCCTACTAGGTTTGAGACTGATGACCCTCATGAAAGTGTTGTGAAGGATGTGTTGTATGATATTGTGTCTTCCATGGATGGTTTGAATTTCGGTGAGGCTTCACCCGTGTCTGCTTCAAAGCCTCGCAATTTGTCTTGGCTTAATGTTTCTGAGCTTGATGTTTCTGAGAATCAGCAACAGTTCATTTTTTCACCAACCATCACTGCTGGTGGAAGGTTTTCCAACAATGGGAATGGGAGGTATCTGAGGGAAGAAAGTGGGGTTGTTGCAGATGATGTCATTGCCCCAGATCTCGCGTGGGTTAATGACTTGCTGAGGTAGATTGTTATGCATTGAAGATGGTGATAGAAGTGGTCATGCTGGAAATTGTGACGAGGATTCAACAAGTGTACATACATGTGGCAGCAAGAAACTTATTCTTGGCTTCTATTGTTACATGTTAAATTGTTAATTATTGTTTTAAGTTTATTGCTTTCTAAATTTGTTTAAGGTTGTCTAAATAGGTAATTCTGTAATTTTTATGTTCATTAGTTAGATTTATATTTTGCTTTGTGTAGAAAGGGAAATCCATTCATTCAATGGGATGTTGAACTTTTCTTTTCTGTTTTGGACATTTTGTTAATTTTGTATATCCTCTTGCTATTGTGATAATTCTAAATTATGTGCGTTAAGGTCATTTGTGGGTTGTGAACTCGAGATTTAGATGTTTTGTGATTTTGCTAGTCCTTCATATTAAAGCAAATTCAGCAATTTTTTACACATGGCACGCATGCAATAATGTTTATTGAGACTAAATTTAAGATATATTGAGACTAAAATTAAGATAAAATTCTCGGAAATTTTGTTATATTCGGCAATCTATTTCTTTACTTGTCATATATAATTCACTCTTCACAGTGTGTTCCGATGATTTTAGAAATTCAACCAATTTGAAATATATTTTACTCAGAATTATTTTGATTTTAATTTTTATTATTTTTTAAAAATTTAAATTTCCTAAGTTTTAAATTTTAAATTTTTACTTAAAATAAAATAATTTATTTTTCATCATATTTAAAATTATATATATATATATATATATATTAAAAT